AGAGAGAGAGAGAGAGAGAGACTCGGCGATCGGAGCATCCCTAATTAAAATGTTAAATTCGTACTCAAGCTTAATTCCAGTTTGTTAGGGCGACGACATGAATAATATGATTCATTCAAATCTTATGTCTTACATATAAGGCTGTCTTTTTATTGTCTTTTTTTGTTGTATATGTTTTTACTTTAATCTCAGAGATATAAACAAATATTAAAATCATATGTTTTCATCAGAAATTTACCACATTATTGAAAATATTGTATTTTTTTTTTTCTTTTAAATTCCCCCTTCTTCCGCATCTTCATAATTATATATTTTTTAATCCTATCCTTTCTTCTCCTCGCAGGTTTACACCCGACTTCACGTCCTCCCGAGTGATCCGGGAGCTGAAGCTGGTGACATGCGGAGGCTCTGAGTTCGTGTTTGTCCTGAACGCCTCGCTGCCGTACCACATGCTGGCAACGTGCGCCGAGACGCTGCCCCGACCCGGCTGGGAGCTCGAGCTCTACATCATCGTGTCTCTCATCATGAGGTCAGCTCAGCAGCAAATACAACACACTTTGGATTTAAACACAGCTGACTAACGTTTAGTCTTATTCTCATTCTTTATTTGGATCCCCATTAGCACTAGCATGAGCATTGACTATTCTTCCTGGGGTCCTCACACACACAAAACATACATAAAACTAAATAAAACGGCTCATAATTTCATGCAATTTACAGTGATATATGAAATGAAAACTAAAATGGTCATCCAATTTTAGCGATCACAAAGCCAAACTAAAAATACAAGTAATACATAATTATAATACATACATATCGGCTGGCCAAATCTCACCATGTTCAAATCACAAATCAAAACTCACCTCTTCAGAACTGCTTTAATCTGAAATTAATGTTGTGTTTTATATATTTTAAGTGTTTTAATTATGTTTTTATGATTTTTTTTTTTTACTGTGTAAAGTGTCTTTGGAGTTTTTCTAGAAAAGCGCTCTATAAATAAAATGCATTATTATTATTTGTATTATTATTAACATTTCTCTGATGTCTCCAGCTCCATGTTTCTGCTGGTGATCGCCACGGCCTACCTGGAGGCTCAGAGCATCTGGGAGCCGTTCAAGAGACGCGTTTCCGTGGAAACCAACTCCACCATGGAGACCGGGAGGCCGTTTAATCTCAGGGAAATCGTCCAGATTCACAGCGACTCAAAGTGAGTGCAACATGGCTAAAGAGTTAAAAAAAAAAAACATGGTGGCATCACTGTACAGAAAGATATGTTAGTCTGGTTAGGAGGAAGCAGAAGCAGACATCCTTTAGACCAGGGGTGGGCAATTATTTTTTCCATGGGGCCACATGAGAAACTGAAAATATTGTGGAGGGCCGGGCCAAAAGGCTGAACTCAATTCTGCATAATATTAATTATATTTCTTTATAAAAAGCAGTAAATAGCATTGTTTTGACAAGCTGGTAAAAGTATATGTTATAGTTAAGCAATGAAAAAGTGAGGTTGCCTTACAAAAAAATGTCATTTATTAAATCAAATTTCCCAAAACAATGGTAAACAAAATGAACGTTTTTCACCATTTGTGACTCATATTAGTGAACATTTTCAGTCACATTCACTCAAACACATTTTGAGTTTCATTTACTGTTGGAAAGAGGTTCTTAGCATTCTAAAGACATCACAATATTGTCTTTGTACTCCAAATATTAAGCAAGATACATCATATTGAACTGTCACTAAACATCACTGAACTGTGATTTTGAGAAAAAGGCTTCCAAAGAAAGTGTCCCAGTTCACTGCTAGTTGGTGCCTTTACATGCCAACATTTGTAGTCTAACCACCTCATTTGGTGTTTTTAAGTTCTCTTTTCTTGTTCAGTGAGAGACATCTAGTCTCTGCTGGGCTTTAACGAGTGCATCAAAGTCAGGTTGAATGTCTGAGGTGGAGATGCGAAGCACAGCTGACAGATGATCATCAGTGAGAGAGGATCTATACCTGGATTTCGTAAACTTCATAATTGAAAATGTTTGTTCACATATGTATGCGTGTCCATGCACTCGTTTACCTCCGTGAACAGATCGCTCCCTGTCGTCGTCCCTTTCATCGACCGCATTGCTGCCAGCTCCTCCGTAATCTTGAAGTCCGGTGTTATCCCGCGGACGAATACGAGTAACTGGGCTGTGTCGCGGACATCACAGCTCTCGTCCAAAGCCAAGGAGAAAAAGTCGTAACTTGCCACTTCACGTTGCAGCTGAAGCTCCAGATTCCCCGCAATGTCCTCGATCCTTCTAGTCACGGTTCGCCTGGACAGCGGGACTTGCTCAAATGCGGCTTTTTTTTTCAGGGCATATTAGTGCTGCAGAGTCCACCAAGCACTCTTTGACAAACTCCCCCTCCGAGAACGGCTTACTGTTTTTAGCAATTTTGTGGGATATCACAAAGCTGGTCATGGTTGCTGCATCACTGGATGTGTGAAGCTTGGTAAAAAAGCCTTGCTGCTTTTGCAGCTTAGCTAGCAAAGCTTCCGATGTCCGCGCCCTTTCAGCGTCAGTCAAGTTTTTATATTTCTCCGCGTGTTTCGTCTCGTAATGTCGACTCACATTGTACTCCTTAAACACGGCGATCTGCTCCCCGCAAACTAAACACACGGTTTTACCTCCGACTTCAGTAAATAAATACTTAGCAGTCCAATTTTTGTTGAAAACCCTGCATTCAGCATCTACCTTTCTTTTTTTAGCGGACATTTTTTTGAGGGCTAAAGTCGTCTTGTGACAAGGATCCAATAATGTGCACGTCTTGATATACGTATTGCGTCATTATGCACGTGAATAAAAAACAACTTCAAAATAAAAGCAATGCAGCTTTAGTCCATGCATGAGGTAAAGTTAGAAAATATGTTTATTTTGTAATTTCCAATTAGCCTTACACGGGCCGGTCAGAGTCAACCAAAGGGCCGTATGTGGCCCGGGGGCCGTACGATGCCCAGGTCTGCTTTAGACCTACAGCAGGGGGAATGTACATTATTACAGCAAAAGGACAGTGATGATAAAATGCAAATATACAAATTTGGAAGATCTAATAGATGAGAGTAACACATGCGTCACTTCCGGGCAAAAATGACGGCTCCGCCCACTTTTGGGGGAAAACAAAGCTGTCATTTGAATGGCGGTCAATTCAAATTCTGAAGTTTTTGCCAATCCGATCAGAAATTTAAGAAAACCGTGGATTTTTGGATCTTCAAAGAGCCCGATTACAATGGCCAGACAGGCAAACAATTACATTAAATCATTTGAAATCGACGATCGGGCTCGATATATGGTTACATATAGCAGTAGGCGATCGATGTCCATAGATGAGAGTAACATCTACGTCACTTTATGGCCCCGCCCACTTTTGGGAATGAGGCAGGTTTATGATTTTAGAACTAACAATGTTTTTAGGGGTGTATTTATTTTGTTATTTATTTATTGTTTGGCTTATAAAATGACAGAAATAGGTTTCACAACATCCTCAAAAGTCTTGTCTGCAGATATTGAGTTAACTCAGGGGGTCTTAAAAAGTATTAAAAGTTGATAAATCAATTTAGCGAAAATTAAGGCTATTAAAAAGTATTAAACGGCATTTTCCAAGACATTACATTTTGTAGCTTGTTTTCAATAAGTATCTAAATTGTCCAAAGAAGTTGTATTCTACAGTTTGCCTGAATGTAATCATTGCGTAGGTGTGTAGTGTGATTCTAGTTTATTTATGGCATCCCGTTGGGTTTGACGTCATCTGAACAGGACATCGCACGCTCACTGCTTGATAGCGCGCAAAGGTCCGTTTACGCCGGTTGTTAAACAACATCGTTATGGGGAAATGCAAGTCTGCGTCCAAATGGTTGGAAGATAAGGAGGAAGGACAATCAATACTGTATATAGTGAATGTGAGGTAAAGTGTGTCGCCAAGGTAACCGGTTAAAACTCCAAGTGGAGATGAGGTCTTAAAATGTATGGAAAGGGTCTTAAAAAAGGTCTTAAAAGGTTTTACATTTGACTTCAGGATTCCTGCATATACCCTGTAACTGTCATGGAGCATTACATTTAACTGAACATAATTCTAATTGTTTTTCTTTAAATATAAACTCAATCTGGTTGTTACAAAAATATTTGCCGAACTATAGTTGACAACTAATCGATTCATCTCTGCAGCTCTAATCACAAGTAGGTTACATTGAAGCTAATGTGGTCTTAATTCAACATAATTCTCCTCTCCCCTCTCAGGTTGAATGATTACGGCGACCCCCCGCAGAGAGTTTACTCCTCCAGTAACGGAGCCTCGAGGATCGGAGGTCGTCAGGGAAACAGCCGCACGTTCCCAGACTCGGAAAGCCAGGACAAACGTTCCCGACTCGGCTTCTCCCGCCCATCTATGCCAGTTTCCTCCTCCTCCTCCTCTTCGTCCTCCTCGCAGCTGAGCAAGGACCCCCCCGTTTTCCAGCTGACCAACCGGAAGGCCCGCAGCTCCAAACAGCCGGAGCTACAGGGTTTCCCCGGGTCAGCGCTGCCTCACAGGGGCTCTGACGGCTCTGATGAGTACAACAGCCTGATCGGAGCCATGGACAACGACCTGGACCGTCCAGAACCGCTCGGCGCTGCTGAAACCCTGCAGGAGCAGAGCGTGCAGGCCGTACAGAACAAAGGTAGGGCAGAACTACAACATTATAAGATGAATAAGGAAAAGGATTGTTATTATCTAAATCAGTATTTCAACTCTGAGATTGTAACCACTCAATGACCAGATAATACAGTCTGAATGAAAGTAGGTATGCTCAAACTAAATGCATAAACAAGGTGGTTTGAGAATATAAAGATGTCCTGAAGCAGTGGGAAGAGGTATTGGATCTTATGGCGCATTTCCACTGCAGCGCGTTACACGGTTTAAACCCGGCCCGTTTTTTGTTGCGTTTCCACTAGGGGTAGTTCCGGCTAACGGGTACTTTTTCACAGTTTTTCTGGCTCTCCAAAATCGTCGTTCTTTCCGGGCCAACAACCGGGCTGAGTTTGCTAAACTAGAGAGAGAATCGCTGGCAAGGGGGCTACAACTACAACAAAATGAACATATTTGACCGTGATTTAATTGTAATACACGTTTCAAAATGATGCCGAAGTAACAACATACTGATACCGGTTAGTAAAAACCATGAATTAATGCTTTGACAAGTCTGCAGACAGACGGCAGGCGAAAAACCTTTTAAAATGCGTGTTTTCTGAATGGAGATTGGCTAAGCTAACGTTGTATATGCTCTGACCGTCCACACTCACAACAACGGCCTATACAGACATAAATAAAGCAGCGACTGTATTCGCCATGACACAGGCAGTCTGTGGTTTGTACTTGTTTCACTTTTGTCTAGTTTCTGAACAGAAATGAGGAACTGTGAGCTCTGAGGGCTAACAGCTAACGGCTGTGTTGATTTTGTGTTTCGCATTGAAGATGACGTCACGGCTCCGCCTACACTGCGTTACTATAGTTACTGCCCCAGATCCTAAACTGTAATGGAAACGCAGCATAAAGTGAGCCTGGCCTACCAAGGCCTAACTATACCGTACTAAGCCGTGCGAGGCCCTGCAGTGGAAATGCGCCATTAGAGAAAGATTATTCCAATCAAAAGGAGCTAGAGGAGTTTTAGTTATGACTACATTAACTGAGTCTTGGGTTACAATTAAATAATCAGTAAAAGACGAAACTGGTCACAACAAAAGACAACGAGGTTTCTGTTAAAGTCCCTAACTAAGTCAAATATAAGTTCTGTATGAGGCAAGTTTATGTTTGTAGCGCATTCTAACAACAAGACTGCTTCGAAGTCAGCGTTTCCGTCAGGGGGGCGTCTTGCCGTCATTTGACAAATGAAAAATAATAATAATCCGAGAGAAGATCAAGAGTTTTTATCGCTTGAAATGACGAAAAGGAAAAAGGACAAGGACATCCCTCTGTGGGAGGGGCAAAGGAGTCTGGTGGGATTCTTTTCGCCGCCAGCAAAGCGTGTTCCTGTGACGGAAAGTGTACTGCCGGCGAGCCTTGACGGGGGGTGCTAGTGGAGCACGCGCGTGAACTGCGAGCGCCGGAGCCTCGCAGCGGCAAAACTGAGGCTCCGTGGTAAACTGTGGTAACATGAAGAGCCGTTTGGGAGCCGAAAGAGCCGGCTCTTCTTAGTGAGCCGAGCCAAATGATCCAGCTCACTAAGAAGAGCCGGAATTCCCATCACTAATACGTAGAGAGATAGTATCTATAAAGGGACGGCTCAATTCAAAATTCAAGTCCCTTGACACGACGTCACTCGCTCTCGGGGTGGACGCCCTCTCAGCCCTGGTCTGGCGGAAACACCAAAAGGACGTTTTGATTAAGACATAAGCCGGGAATCTACATTATGAAATGACATTTGAATACATTATCAAGACTTCTAAGAGCTGAGATCACAACCAATGAATCTGAAGTTGCAAAGCAGCTTCACGTGCACGCTTTCCTTCTTGCAAATGTGTTGTTTATTTTTGTTATTTAAATGTGTGTATTTGCCTGATGAATATTGGGAATGTTGCCTATGAATATAAATACATATGTTTTGCAAATTGGCAGGTTTTGCAACTTTTGTGCAACTTGTCCCTTTTCTGTGCACCTGTCTACTGAAATGGATAAAGCAGAAGTGTTTTTTAAGCTTAAAATAATAAGTGAAATTATATATTTAAGGAAGGTGCAAGAACCAGACGGGAACAAACACACACGGATACTTTAAATCAATGTAAAATAAGCCCAGATCCTACCCTAAAATATATTTTCTGTACACTGTAAATGTACTCATGTGTCATGTGAGTATGGAGTAGAAGTCTTCTGTAGTAATTCACAGGTACTTCAAGGTGTTGTTTATGTGTCTGCAGTGCTGGACTCCAAAGGGAAGCTGCGGGGGAAAACAAAAGCCCAGAAGAAGAAGGAGGAGAAAGAGAAGAAGAGTTTGGTGAAGCCTCAGGGAGACGAGCTGAAAGAAAACGGGGCGGATAACGACGACAGCTCCTCCACCACCACAGAGACCTCCAACCCCGACACGGAGGCCAACAGCAAGGAGGTACTTCCTGTCGTCACACACACTTCCTGTCGTCACACACACTTCCTGGGTGTTTCTCAATCGCGAGTACGCTTGCTTGGTAGCTCATGTCTGCTGAGCATCTTGCTTCAGAAGCGAGTCAAGAATCCTTCCTGGCATTCGGAAAACAAAGTGTGGAACACGCTAGCAAGTGTGCAGGTGTGCGTCATATGAGAGGCCCCGCCTTACATCTTCTGCCACAGATTTGGGGAAATTGGTCCGTGCGCAAAGCATTGTGGGGATTTTAAGACCGCGAAGTCTACTCATGTGCAGCCTCGATATTTCTCCAAACGGAGTACGCCGGGCTTGGTAGAATTCCAAGTATGCTGGAGATTGGAACAGTACTTCGGCGGCACTCGATGACGTAGTATGCTTGAAATAGTGGCTCTGGAGCAGCTTTACTCGACATTGAGAAACACCCCGTGTCTCTACACACACTTCCTGTCGTCACACACACTTCCTGTCGTCACACACACTTGCTGTCGCTACACACACTTCCTGTCGCTACACACACTTCCTGTCGTCACACACACTTCCTGTCGTCACACACACTTCCTGTCGTCACACACACTTCGGCCCAATCCCAAACCACGCCCTACACCCTACCCCTACACACTCCCCCTCCGTGACGTAGTGAACTCCGTGTCGGAGTGACACTCGCAGCTCAACGAGGCTCCCTCCTGTCAGATGGAGGGAGTAAATACAGCGGCAAGCTTTGGGACAAACTCCCCTCTCTCCGGCAGAAACAGGAAATGACGCAACTGTATGTAACAACGGTTTCAAATCAGTTCTCTTAGACAAAACATTACAATTAATAACTAAAATAAAACTCTAAACATCTTTCATTGTGTTACTTTTTTGTAAAGCTCTTTTAGTTTTAAACCTGATGTTTATAAGCTTCTTAGTTTTTGCAACAGTCTGTAAATATACACAACTTTATAATAAAATGCACACATTGACCTTTTTCTAGACTAAACACAGGTATGATCCTAAGTTAAAAAAATATGAGGTTATCATGAGGTTGTTAACATCGCAGTTTATCAGTGGATGTTTGCTGGAACTACTTGTAAACAGCGTGTTTCCTGACGGACACACACAGCGTGACTCCGGTCAGGTAGAGACCGGTCTCAAGTCAGCACCGATGCAGACTCGCTGTTTGAGGGCTTGATAGCCCACTCCCCCTCCACCCCGCTCCACACTCGTTGGTTTGGAACAGCACTTAATGTGGCGGACCCTCCGCGCGAACGGAGGGGTAGTGTGTAGGGGTAGGGTGTAGGGCGTGGATTGGGATTGGGCCTTCCTGTCGTTATACACACTTCCTGTCGTCACACACACTTCCTGTCATCACACACACTTCCTGTCGCTACACACACTTCCTGTCGTCACACACTTCCTGTCGTTTTTTTATCTCATGATTCTGACATGTTTCTAGATCTTATTTTCTTTTTCCAATATCTTTCACTTTTTTGTATGAACAACGTATTTCTAACAATCGATCCATTATGAAAACAGTTGTTAATTCATATTCTTGGTTTGCCATCCCCTACCAGTCTAACTAATTGTTGCACATCTACCATGGAAATGTCCTATTTGTTAACGAGCTGCTTTCATTCCTCTCAGGAACCGGTGAAAAAAAAAGGCGGGACAGTAACGACAGGGAAAGTGAAAGAAGAGCCGTCAAATATCCTCCTTAAACCCAAACCCAAGAAACCCGCCATCATAAAGAAAGAGTGCCCAGTGGAAAAATCCAGGTCTGTTAATTTATTTTATTGTATTTTATTATCATGCCTTTTATCTCCTTGTGTCTCTTAACCTGTTCAAATGTTATATTTAGCTGCATCTGATCTGAGGGGGATTTCTTGTTGTTTATTTTTTACTTGTGATTTCAACTTGTGCGGGCAAAACGCAACATCTTGCAAGAAACAGTGTCTGAGGGCTTCTTAACATTTAACAAACTATGAATGTGTCATACTCACTTAACGGGAAGAAACTCAGCTTTCAGACAATATTAACAATTGTTAGCTAAACGAAACATAAGGGTAATACCAAGCTTCTGATCTGCACAACCAAGATATCGATTAGCAAGCTGAGATTCCACAGATTCCAGACATATAAGGATCACCACTGAGCGATCAGAACTCGCGGCGAAACGACAACAAACAACATTTGCTTTACGGGACCAAAACGGCTAAAAACGTCTTACCTTGAAATGATTACTGATAATCCATCATCATATTTATGTCAATAACGGCGATTTCATATATAGCTGCTATGATAGCTATGAGAGTACAGCTTCCGGTTTTGGGCATTCTGGCTACGCATCACTCATTCACCAATGGGTAATGTTTAGATGGATTTTAGGAACTTCCCCTCGATTCTATTGGCTCTAACGGTTCAAAAGAGGTGTCAATCATCAACATCGACCAATGGGTTCCAGAGATATGGAAAATCCACCCAAATGACCCCAGAAGTGTTTTCTTTTGCTAAACCTCTCTAAAAAGGTCAAATGTCACTTATTTTGCATCAATCTTGATACAGGGTACTTATTATATGTTATAGTGTGGATTCCTAAAGCTTTTAGTCTTCGATCCCATCATTCAAGGGTGGTTTTCACTATAAGTAATGGTTTTATTGTTGGACGGACACAATAATTTACATTATTTTACTATGTTCAATCTGAATTTACTTTAAAATAAAAGATTCTATATTGATTCTGACTATTCTACATCCAACTCACAGGTTTATCATTGCTTTGAGAAAAAAGATTATTAATTTAACCCTTTTAGAAGGGAAGATATAGTCATTTGTTCTGGGAATGTCATTTTCGAGCCTGAGACCTGAAAAACAGGCTCAGGGCTTAACCTCTTAAGCCCTGAGCCTGTTTTTCAGGTCTCAGGCTCGAAAATGTCGCAAGTTCGCATCGCTCAGTGATGATACTATACCTAAATAATCAGTGGAGTCTCAGCTTTAATCGGCTATATTGTATGTGCAGCTACGATAAGTAATAAGGGTATCTTTATCTTGAATTGTGTGCCGCAGTGCGTTAGAATTTTTTCGCTCAGGGGTCATTTAGACGCTTCTTATGAGACTTGTGTTTTGTTTTGGTAAAAATGGTTCATATCTTCAGTTAGCTGAGATTTTTCCCGTTAATCTGGTGCTACACATTAATAGTTTCATAAATGTTAAGAAGCCCTGAGACATTATCTCGAAAACAAAACGGTGGGAGGGGTCCAATGGGGGGACCGCCGTGCTTAAGAGGTTAACAGGTTAAACTGCGCGTGCTGTATGAAAAGTGCTGTATAAATAAAGCTTTATTTATTATTATTATTATTATTGATATTTAAACACATCTGATGTTCATTTCTTTCTATAAAAAAGTGCTTCTCATGACGAGTGTTTCCTGTGTTCAGTTCTCTGGAGCTTCCCTATGTGACGCCGCTGGAGAACAAACAGAGGAAGAGCTTCACCTCCAAAACTCTGCACCCGCTCTCCAACATCCCCAAGAGCCGGCCGCTGCAGAAACAACAGAGATGTGAGTTTCTGCGTTTTAATTAATGTCGTCGCTTTGTTTCAGCACCAGATGTGTGTGTCAAATAATCTATAGATCAGCGGTTCCCTACCTTTTTCATCTCAGGGCTACACACACTCCCTGTCGTTACACACACTCCCTGTCGTTACACACACTTCCTGTCGTTACACACACTTCCTGTCGTTACACACACTCCCTGTCGCTACACACACTCCCTGTCGCTACACACACTCCCTGTCGCTACACACACTCCCTGTCGTTACACACACTTCCTAACTTCCTCCATCAGTAACAAACAGACGGTTTAGTTGAATACTCGATTCTGATTGGTCAATCCAGTAGTACAGACTGCTGTATAATGACCATAATAATGAAATGTTTCCACACAAATCATAATGTTTTGCAAATTATTTGGCGGCCCACTTGCAATGTCTTCGCGGACCACTAGGGCTGCACTACAGGTTGGGAACCGCTGCTAAAGATACATCGATAGACATACAGTAGATGAGAACTTCCACACCAACACTATGTGCAATATAAATATATATCATTACCATCATTACAAAACACTCGCTGCTATATAACATGTGCAATATTATTATTAGTAATAATGTGCTATGATAACGTGCAGTTACGTATCTGCCACCACGTTTTTTTGCACTACTAAATACTGTTAATATTTACATTAATTATGTGACTGTCTATGTTTCCTGTAGATATTTAATTGCTCTTTTTACGGCACTGTTAGTGTACAGTTTTACTATTATGCTGCTGTGTTTATTGTATTGTTGGAACTCTGACACAACAATTTCCTTCAGGATGAATAAAGTCCTATCTTATCTTAAATGACTAGTTTTTTAATATCAAAACGGTGCAGTTTCAATGCAGCTATAAACCCATCTTCGTGTTATTGAATGATGACGAAAAACATGTTTTGTTTCTGCAGTCGATGGGAAGCTGGAAGAAGGACGCCCGTCTCTTTTGGCCAAACTGTTATCCAGCGTCCCCGTGGGAGAGCTGGGACACAGCAGCAGCTCCGAGGGGGAGAAAGAGTTCGCTGCTCCAGAGTGGGATATCCCGCTGTCCAAAAACAGCGTCCGTAAGTCCACGAGAGAAACTGTCCTGTTCCTGCAAAAATCACCCAAAAACTACAAGGCACTCTCTTTTTCATTTCTAAATTGGAAAATCCCTTTATTTTAATGGCAAAGTCATTCCAACACGTTTCAGCGTCACGGCTTTGTGAGGGAATCAATCGGATCTAAAGAGACAAGACCCTAACCCTGCTGCAAAAATAAAAACTACAAGGCACTCTCTTTTTGATTTCTAAATTAGGCGCATTCACACCGCAGTACTTTTCCCACAAAGGTTCATGAGAACTTAGTTCATCAGAACTCTTTAATTCTCATGAACTTAGTACAGATCGCGTTCACACCGGAATAAGTCCCTGGGGACGATTAGGCAAATGAAGCCGCTGACGTCACTTCTTCTTCTTCTGCTTTGGGTTTACTGGCAGGCCGCAAACCACTTCACGGCGTATACTGCCACCCGAAGTCCCCGGCCGGAAGTCCCCGGAGATGGGGACTGGCTTCAGTCGAAGCTGCTGGGACTCCCAGCAGCTTCGACTGAAGCCTTCCGAGTAAATCGCCAGAACGCCGACACCTCCTCATCTCCACCGCTCACATGTTTTCTTTTGTGTTGCCATAAGTTAGTCTCTCTGCGTTTGTGCGCTGGGCTAATGCTAATAATGCTAATAATGCTAATAATGCTAATGCGAGGATAATAAAATGGCGGCTTCACAAAACTTTTTGGGAGTTTTACGGGGCGTGGTTTGCAATCCGCCCAGCCAATAGGAACCTTTTTCTCCCACGAAAGTACCTGCTCTCTAGCAGGGACGGAAAAGGGGGTGGAAAGGTTCTGATTAACTAATTTTAGTTCCGTCTCTTTTTGGTGTGAACGCGACATTTCGGAACTATATCGGAACTAAAGTGGGAAAAGTACTGCGGTGTGAACGCGGCTATTGAAATCCCTTTATTATTATTTGTTCAAGATTCAAGGCTTTATTGTCATGTGCAGCTACAGTGTAGATTTAAGCAATAGCTCACGACAGGCCGTGGTATATGGTCATTATATCACAGTTAAGGGGCGTGGTTCGGCCCGACGCGAAGACGAGTCAGAATTTTGAGAACTAGTCAAAATAAACTACATTTTGAGAAAAAACTCAGTATTTTGAACATGACTGGATGTATGATTACTTAGAAGAACCGGTATTCCTCCATCTTGTGACTGTGTAACTCCCTCTCTTGTATATCAGCATGTGAAGGACACTGTTCAGGAACTAGTTGATGCTCTGTATGTGATGACTACTTCCATTCTGGAGAGGATCACAAATACATGCATCCTGAGATTGAAGCTCAAGCCGGGGACCAGTGATATTTTGCTAACACTGACTCTCTCCTCCCTCCTCCTCCTCCTCCTCCTCCTCCTCCTCCCTCCTCCTCCTCCTCCTCCTCCTCCAGAAGCCGACAGCCTTCAGCAGATTTCCCTCCAGACGATAAACGCAGATCCGTTCCTGAAGCGCTCGGCCACGGCGGGAACCTGCTCCCCCCCGCCCGCCTCCCCCGTCCTGCTGTCCAGAGGATCCTACAGCAGCGTGCTCAACAGCAACAGGTGCACACCCCCTCAAATGTGGAGATGATGAAAAGATAATGTCCAATTTAAGCTTTGTACCTCACTTTGTTAAACTTGGGCTGAGTTACTTGGCAAAAAAAAAGATATATTAATATTATTTTGGACTATCACTTTCACTGATTTTAACCAATTCTGTCCTCATCATAACAAACCTTTATTCTTCTGGATCTTTAAACAATTTAAGTGCCAGTTGGTTAACCTACCCACTTTTTTTTAATGAAGAAAAACTAAATAAATGCCTTAAAATATGCCATGTCATATCAATGACTGCCTATCTTACATGTGCAAGCTAGCAACTAAATGGAAACAATCAGCCCTTTTGAAAAGTGCTTTATAAACAATGTTAATTATAGTATTTACGATATCAAAAAAATGTGAGTTTTGGTTCAGTATTTTCTATTTTCACCCCAAATCTAACCCAGTTTTTTGTTGATTTTTCTGTCATTTTTGCAGCGAGCTAAACCAGAAGAAGGCTCCGGGAAATAAGCTTTCTCCCGCCACTCCTCTCCCGGGTAAAAACGGGAACCCGACGTTTGCTGCTGTCGCTGCGGGTTACGATAAAAGCCCCGGTACGTTTACAAAACAGGAACTAACAGCTGATTGAAAGCTTGAATATAGTTTGTGTGTTTCTGATGTTTTATCTTCTCTCCTCAGGCGGTTCTGGTCCAGGGAAGAGTCTGGCTCACATGACGTCTGTGGAGAGTGACGGTTCTGACAGGTGAGACTACATTAGTGACCACGATATCCATTTGTTGTATTCTTTTGTCTGTTATTCACTCATGAGCTGACTGATGAATACACGCTTGTTGTTGAGAGAGAGAATAAAGGAATGTCCAGGTGCGATTGAAAAGTAAAATATTACATTACATGTTACTTGTTAGACGCTTTTATCCAAAGCGACTTACATACTCAATACTGTGGGCAATCCCCACAGGAGCAATTTGGGGTGAAGTGTCTCAGGGACACAACGACATGCTGACTGCAGTGGGGTTTGAACCTGTGACCCCCCTGATCCCAACACCAACGCACTAGTCCACTGCGCCACACGCCTCGCCGTATTCTTGTTTATTAAAAAAAAAAGGCGGTGGAAACAAACTATTTCTCACATAAACTGATACTTCAAATATTAGAGGCCAAACAAGGAACCAAGCTGTCGCGCTCCCAACAAGCAAGGTCTAAAGCAGGGCTATTCAATTGGCGGCCCCGCGGTGATATTTACTGGCCCTTTGAGTATAATGTTAAAAAGTTATCTACTTTTTTTTTTTGGGCCAGAGTGCCTTTATTCCAGAGAGGGTGTTACATTGAGAGATAGAGGGGAAGACATTGCTTGAAAACTTCTGCGGGCTCGGGTTTCGAACCCACCTACTAGCTACTGTAGTGACAAACTGTCATTGATTGCATCTCTGCGTGAATGATTAGATCATTTCACCTAAATGAAATCAAATGAAATGATGTTGATGGTTAAATCTGCTTCACATGTATGCCTACTGAGTTCTGGACTTGCCATTTAGATCTGTAAAGGTCTTGGGGCTATGTTGTTTGATTTAATTAAACACAATATATGCACTCCACTATGCTGTTGTAGTATTTACTGTATCTGAAGCTCTTGATATGATTGCTCATATTTCAAGCCATCTTGTTCCCGGCCCCTTGCTTTGGATCATTTCCATCAACCGGCCCCCATTCCAAACTAATTGAATAGCCCTGGTCTAAAGACTGTGGGTGTTTCTCAATGTCGAGGACGCTTCCTTGGTAGGACATGTCCCTCCGAGTCAGGTCCTTCAGAAGCGAGGTAAGAATCCTTCCTAGCCTCGGAAAACGAAGAATGGTGGAACAGGTGTGCGTCATATGCGAGGCCCCGCCTTAAATGGAGCGTGATTTCCGCCAAAGATTTGGAAATTGGTCCGTGTGCAAAGCATTGTGGGGATTTTAAGACCGCGGAAGATGCACATGTGCAGCCTCGAAATTTCCCGCAACGAAGGACGCTGGCCTCGGTAGAATTCCAAGCATCCTGGACATTAGAACAGTCCTTCGGCGGGACTCAATGACGTAGTATGCTTGAAATAGTGGCTCTGGAGCAGCCTTCCTTGACATTGAGAAACACCCAGTGTGCTTAATGTCAGCCACACCACTAGGCCGCACGGAGAATCAAGATGTTATCTTGATTTCATATTTATATATGTTCTTATTTCTCCCACAGCTCTGGATTATGGAGTCCTCTGGAAACAGCCAGCAGTCCCAACTTCCACTCTGCCAACTCCTTCTCTGCGTTTGGACCCAACAACTGCTTCAACCTGACCGGAGGTAACCTGAGCTTCATTACGTGGAGTAACGATAAGATGACTTTTGAGTGTGTGTCGCGAGGGTTAATAATAGTTGTGAATTTTTTATTTCATTTTACTTTCAGTCAATTTTCAGAGTTTTAGTTAGGATTGCATTTTTATATATTCCGTATTTTTATATTTAAGTCATTTGTTTGAATTGAAATATTGAGTTTTTATATTTTTAGATATTAACAAAATGTTTTAATATATTAATTAAATATTCATATATTTAGGTTTTGATTTGTTTGGTTTAAAATGTATAGTTTTATTTGTATACTTCTGTTTGTACTTTTTATACATTACATTTTGATATATTCATGTTTCTTTGTATTAGGTTTACATTTTTGTCTGTTTTGATTTTATTTATTGAGGTGTTTTCTGAAACTGAGGGGAGATTATTCGTTTTTTTAACCGGGCGAAATCATTATTTCAGTTTCTTTTCTGAAAGGATATCATTGATATTTCATTTCAGTTTATTCTATACTTGACCATAATCCCCCTGGTGTTTGTGTTCAGTGTTCAGTGGGATGAACCTCCCGAAGCCCACGGAGCCTCAGCCTCAGCAGAGTTGGCCCGAGTTCAGCTCGGCTTCGTCCATCTGGGACGTCCCGACCAGCGACTCCCTGCACTCCTGGCCCTCCAGCTCCCCCACCGCCCCCACCGCAGTAAGAACAACATTTCATTTGTTATAAATGTTTTGTTAGAAAGAACACACACACATGGCTAACAGCGTGAACAGATCTGAACTGGGAAAGTCTGCGTGTCTCCGTGTTCTTTTACCGGGACACACCAATCCACACCGTGCCATCGCTAGAACCCAATTTCCTGGAGACCCCATCTCATTTACATGTTCATTAAAGGGATGTTTTCTTAATGTTTCTCATACTCTTATCAACAAAGAAGTAGACAAATAGGCTTGCACATTTAAGTTAAGTGTTATACTCTTTTTCAACAATACATTATAGGTCTCAGATATATATATCAGGGTTCTTACGGTCATTAAAAACCTGGAAAAGTTATGGAAATTCAAAATGCTAATTCCAGGCCCTGGAAAAGTTATGGACAACAATATTTTTCCCAAAGTTTTGGAAAAGTCATGGAAATGTAACTAAAGTTGACATGATGTAGAAGAGACATGAAGAAGAGGGGACACATGTTGATGTAGAAGAGACATGAAGAAGAGGGGGCACATGTTGATGTAGAAGAGACATGAAGAAGAGGGGACACATGTTGATGTAGAGGAGACATGAAGAAGAGGGGACACATGTTGATGTAGAAAAGACATGAAGAAGAGGGGACACATGTTGATGTAGAAGAGACATGAAGAAGAGGGGACACATGTTGATGTAGAAGAGACATGAAGAAGAGGGGACACATGTTGATGTAGAAAAGACATGAAGAAGAGGGGACACATGTTGATGTAGAAGAGACATGAAGAAGTAGATTTAGCTTAATAGGCAAGTGTCTCACAGATCCTCTCTTGTCCCCCTTCTCTTCAGTCCCTCCTGGGTAACGCCCGCAGCCTCTGGTCTGCCCCGACGCCCTTCAGCTCCTTCAGCTCCTCCATCTGGTCCACCAGCGCTGACTCTGCGCTGCACCCGTTCCCCCCGGCCTCCAGCTCCTCCTCCACCCTGACGGACCTGGTGTCCCCCGTCACCCCGTCTCCCCCCCCCTCCGAGATGAGCCGCACGTACAACCCGTGGAGCATGTGGCGCCCGACGCTGAGCCGCCGCAGCTCCGAGCCCTGGCCCAGCTCCTCGGACAACAACAACAACAACAACAACTGAACAACACTTAAAGAGGAGGTTTTCATTATTTTAATCCCGACAGGAAGTTACCCTGAAGTGTAAAAACAGGGTTGCGTGGTATCGCGCTGCAAGCCAACCAACCCTTCGCAATTTAGTTCTCCGCAGCTTTTTATTCACGGGGGCAGAAATGCTAATTTTATTTGGATTTGTTTTTTAACAGATTGCCCCTGAATTTAAAAAATAAATGCATGGTATGCTAATGCCAGTGCAGACATGTTGCTGTTATAGAAAGGCTGGTGATGCTGCATCCTTCTCAGAGTTTGTCTCAGTATTAACATTTTTAATTTTAAACGTATTCTCAGTCATTTTGGTTCTTATTGGTTTCTAAAAAAAAAAAAAAAGACATTTGAATCATTGCACCAAGTTTTTATTTGGCAGCGGGGATTTTTTCATGATCTGAATTTTCAGAAGTCCAACAAATAAATTCTTATTTCACATTTTAAACAGGAATTGGTCAATGAACACTTTGAGGTTTGTGTTGTACATCGCCTCTATTTGTCAGCTAATTTAAATAAAGGATTTCAGCAGAACATTTTGTGTTTCGTTTTATTTCAGTGCAGAAAATAAAGTCAAGTAACATAATGACGGTAAGGACGGATTAACAATCAGCTGGCTGCAGATACATGGGGTAATGCTGTCATGAATACATTTCATACGAGACATTTGATTATGTGCAGAATGATGAGTACAGTGCAAAAGTCAAGACACAGAATTTAAAATAGAACAATTACAGAAAAACAACGTGTGTTTTGTTTAAAGGGGACCTATCATGCAAAAGTGCATTTTGCATGATAGGTCCCCTTTAAGGTTAGTGTAGGAGCCATTTATGTGTTTCATTTGATTTGATTTACATCATGCAGAACATAAAGTCAAGTAACATAATGACGTTAAGGACGGATTAACAATGAGCTAGCTGCAGATACAGGTTGTAATGCTGTCATGAATACATTTCATACTAGACATTTGATTATGTGCAGAATAAGTACAGTGCAAGAGTCATATATATATAAAATAGAACAATTGCAGAAAAACATGTGTTTTTAAGTTAAGTGTAGGAGCCATTTATGTGTGTTAATTTATTTTGTTTATATTTATCTTGCAATATTATTTTGAACACAACTACAAACATTCATCTAATCATTCAATCGGATACGGCTGTAGTAGTAGTAAATAATCCTTGATAATCCATGATATGGCGTTTCATCACGGCAGTATTTAGTTTAGACAGTAGCTGCCGGGTCCCGCATGAGCTCAGCCCCCTTCTTTTCTATTTTAGCAATTTCCTTATTTGTTAAAGCTTTATACCAAAATCAGCACTTCTGAAACAGGAAGTGAAATAGAGGGATATGAGGCATGGCTAGAATGGGTGATCTGTTTGGTATTTTGAGCAAAACACTTCATAGACATGTTTTTCATATATTTGTAATCTGGAAAACAAATGAAATTGTATTTGGCATCACACATTTTAGATTTATCAGCAGATTTTCTATCATTTCTCAATCCGATATCCTCTCAAACAATTCTATTTTTGGTAGAAAATAGTATTTATTTTGTCATAAATGATTACAAAAGTACTTCATATATATCTGGGGAACATTTCAAAGACTCCAGGAATGGTTGTATTGTATATTTCCAGCAAAAGAATCTTATTTTATATCCAAAATCCTTCATAATGATTGAGTTTTGGGTGGATAAATGTTAGTTTGTCTTCAGGAATACTTATTTGGTTGATGTCAGATAATGCATTAGTACGCTGTGGCTCTCCTTCAGCTGGTTGTTGTTGTTTTAAACAACTATGGGGAACATAGGAATGATCCCAGCTAAATCCTTACATAAGATATAATATAAGCAGATTGTCTCCCTTTGTCATTCATCTTTTAAATCTGTATGAATGAGCACAGAAAGGGAGGTTTGTATTGTAGATATTTGGCTAAATGTGTATTGTTTCTGTTATCCTCCCAGACAATGTAATGCAGGGTGGCAAATTATCACTCATTATCAGTTCTAACCGGTTACCTTGGCGACACACTTTACCTCACATTGACTATATACAGTATTGATTGTCCTTCCTCCTTATCTTCCAACCATTTGGACGCAGACTTGCATTTCCCCATAACGATGTTGTTTAACAACCGGCGTAAACGGACCTTCGCGCGCTATCAAGCAGTGAGCGCGCGATGTCCTGTTCAGATGACGTCAAATCCAACGGGATGCCATAAATAAACTACACAGAATCACACTACACACCTACGCAATGATTACATTCAGGCACACTGTAGAATACAACCTCTTTGGACAATTTATATACTTATTGAAAACAAGCTACAAAATGTAATACCTTGGAAAATGCCGTTTAATACTTTTTAATAGCCTTCATTTTCGCTAAATTGATTTATCAACTTTTAATACTTTTTAAGACCCCGCGGACAACCTGTCACTTTTTATTGATTAAAAAGCCTTTCTAGCTCAATTAAGATCCATTTAAAATTATTTTCTGTATAAATATTTGACCCCAGGGACGTTTATACGTAGATTCTCAGGAAAACTTCAATTTTCTATCCAATTTCACCACGAGCGATTCGATTCTTGGTGGCAAATTGTCTATTTTCGACATTAATGATTAACAAAATACTGTTTTATATAAATCTGGGGAACATATTGAAGACTTGAGGAAGGTTTGTACTGTGCATTTCCAGCAAAACGTAACATTTGTATCTGATTTCCTTCATAACAATTTCCTTCAGGCTGTTTTCCCTCTTCATTCATCACTTCTCCGGCTGCCTGAGAGACTGCAGGAGGAGCCAAACTTTAAAATGTTATCAAATTTCCTTCACAACAATTTCCTTTAGCTTCTTTTAGTCTTCATCAATCACTTCTTCGGCTGCCTCAGAGACTGCAGGAGGAGCCGACTGAACTTCCTGACGTCACACTTTGTGAGCACGGTGACGCTGTGGCTCTTCTTCAGCTGATTGGTGCGATCCAGCGCCATCATGCCTCGGCACAGCGCCCCCTGCAGCTCCACCCTGACGGGGCACTCGATGCTCTGCAGCACCACGTCGGGGTCGATGCAGGCCGCCATGGCGTACGCATCGTAGGAGACGTACCCCGGGCCGAAGTACACGTCCCTCTTGTTCTTCATCGCCTCTTTGGAGTACGCCCGACACTTGGAGGTGATCTTCTTCATGAAGGCCGCAGCCGGAGCGTCCTGGTTGATCAGCTCCTCAAAGAACTCCTAAACAAATTAAATACATTCAATCAGTTAAAGGTTAAATAAATTACCTTTGAATTGTTTTTTTGTAATAACTGGCCCCAGCATGGCCGCCCCACTCTAGTACCGCCACTGCTGTGATGTATTCTGATTTATTATCTTTTTTTCAGGATGGAGGAAATTCTTAAGAGAAACTGATCAATGATTCACGGACGAATGTTGTCTTGTTATATTTAAAGGTCACCTATCATGCTATTTTTAGGCAATAGCATAGGTCTCAGATATATACAAATATATAAAAAACATGTCTATGAAGTGTTTTGCTCAAAATACCAAACAGGTCACCCATTCTAGCCATGCCTCATATCCCTCTATTTCACTTCCTGTTTCAAAAGTGCTGATTTTGGGTATAAAGCTTTAAAAACATAAAAATTGATAGAAAATTAAAAAGGAGGGGTCTGAGCTCATGCGGGACCCGGCAGCTACTGTCTAAACTAAATGCTGCCGTGATGAAACGCCATATCATGGATTATCAAGGATTATTTCTGAAACAGTATGGAGCTCAAAGGCTTTCTCTCTTGCCGGTTATACCACAAGGTGAGTTCCTTTTTATTTCCTGCTTCTTCACACACATGCTCTCCAGTACAGGTTAGCTCTGAGTGTTAGCGATGCTAATGTAAACACAGACCATATTACGTCCAAAACAGTCGGGCATTGTTTCTGATAGCAACGTTTCTGATAGGGCCGTGGGTCCACATTTCAGATATTACGTCATATCGGACGCAAATCTGGATCAGCTCCGTTGTAGCCCCGTTTTTAGAGATTTGGGTACGGAGGAAAAGAGAGAGGGTTTTATTTCTGACGCTGCGTGAGTTCCCTGACACACCGGGGACACATCTTTATGTATTTAATTTTACGTTAAATATTCATGTTTATATATTTATTTTGTATTTATTTATTAAGTTTCAGTATTTATATATAAGGTGTATTTATTTATATAGTGTCTCAATTAAAGGTGGGGTAGGTAAGTTTGAGAAACCGGCTCGAGATACACTTTTTGTTATATTCCATGGAATGCTCTTAACATCCCGATAGCAATGAATATCTGAAGTGCTTTGACAAAAAATACATAAAAAAATGTCATCTGTGGAAGCTGTAGTACTGTAAAAAGTACGACCAATCATCTGAGCCGGCCCGGCTAAAATAACTGGATGGCCTACCTGCCTGTCAGCCTTCCATCTGTGCACAGACTTATCTCATGCCCTCATTGGTCATGTGCGCGTTCGTGTGTGTTGGAGGAGGGGCTCTGTAAGGAAGTGGCAGATTTTTTCCGGCTGTGTATTTTCAAATTCTAGAGCACTCGTGCTGGTTTCTCCAAAATTACCTACCCTACCTTTATGTGATGTATGAACGGCCATAATGTTTAAATATTTTCCGTACATTTTTATTTAGTAACTTCAGTTTCATCCTAACTAACTCTGCTGAGGGTCTTCCCAACATCTCACCCAGGTAAGAGAGTTCCTGCAGGCGTATTCCCACGAGGCGATGTACGTGGTGCAGAGGAACTCCTCCAGAACAATATAGGCCGACTCTGGATCCATAACAAAGTTAAACTCTGCACAAAGTGTCAAGTTTCCTTTTCCTGCAGAGACGAAAATCTGAGTTATAGAAGCGTACGTATTTCATAATAAGAGCCTGTAATGTTCTGTGTGTTTTACCCTCCATGTTGCCTCCCATGATGAACAGGTCTTTGAGCTTTTGGGGGAAACTTGGGTCCAATCTGACGGCTAGAGCGAGGTTAGTGAGCGGGCCGAGAGCCACCAGGGAGATCTGAGGGGGAAGGATTTAGAGGTAACACACTTAGAAATAGTTAGCTGTAAAATAATTCAATCGGTGAAATAATCCGATCATCAAAATATGAAAAAGTAACCCGATTACTTTCCGCTACCTCAATATCAAATGTGAATCATCACAAGAAAAAAGAAATATCAATAAGATGTTTGTTATTTAAGTTTATTATCTATATTAAGAAGAAACCAAGATATTTAGGATCAGAAAATAGATTTTAATTATAAGTAAACCTGCGTTTCATGAAGCATATTCAGGCAGTAGCCTCTACAGTAACAATGAAACACGTGATACTACAGTTTAAAAAAGCAGATATCAAATCTGAGCTGACAGAAAATGCTCCGTTTTAGTTTAACACACATAGTTAAGCTCACACACACTATTTATAGGTTCACATGCTGAATTAAAAAACAGGACAAATGAACCAAAGAAAGTGAAAACCAACACTTAACCCTTCAATGCTTTCTGTATCCTGG